CTATCTCACATTCAGGCCCGTTCCTGCGTGCACTCACTCACCCACAAACCTTTAATTTGGTGTCTAATACGATTTCCCAGCCTCATTATAGCAGCCAGGCTCACCATTTACATTTAAATGAATGGGCTATTAACAAAGTTAATTTTCTGCGACACTGTATTGCCTGATCTTTCCCCGCTCTGCAAGACTGGTCACTTTTTTTGGGTAGGGCCAGTAGCCAAATTGGACCTTTTCCTTGGAGAAGCAGGAATCTGCTCCTCCTTGGGCGTCTTGCCCGCTGGGCATGGACAGGACCGGGGAGATTCACTTCTCCCCATATTGCTGACGGAGCACGAGGGTCACATACCCCACGTGCCCCGGCTACGTACGGCACTCGGCCACCAGCAGCAGAACAAGCCTTTTTAAAAATAACTCCCTCTTCAGAGGCAAAAACATCAAACAATAATCCAAGAATAAAAATAAGCAGTTTTATGGCTCCTCCAATAATTAACTTAGTTCTCAGCTGTTAATTTATGTACCCAAAGTCCTCTGTTTAATATTCTAATTTGTGGTTAATCATCTATCAAGAGAGAACAAACGGTGATTAGCTCGTTTTTTACCTCCTCGAGGGTGAGGGAGGCAATTTGGTCTAATCAATGTATTAGCTTGCTCAAGGAAACTTTTATCTCCTTGCCCTGAATTATTCATGTGGCAGCACTGCCCCTCACCACAGGCGCATCCGGGGGGCCCTGTGCCACAGAAATGTCACCAGGGTGGGATGCGAGGATGATGCTGATGGGCGACCCCCGGATGACAAGTCATACGAGGAGCGGCTGAGGGAACTGGGGTTATTTAGTCTGGAGAAGAGGAGGCTGAGGGGAGACCTGATCGCCCTCTACAGCTGCCTGAGAGGAGGCTGTAGGGAGGGGGAGGTCGGCCATCCCGTCATGATGGGACGAGGGGGAATGGTTTGAAGCTGCGCCAGGGCAGGTTTAGGCTGGACATTAGGAAAAACTTCACTGAAAGGGCTGTCAGGCTCTGGAATGGGCTGCCCAGAGAGGTGGTCGAGTCCTCATCCCTGGAGGTATTTAAAAGAAGGAGAGATGAGGTGCTTAGGGACAGGGTTTAGTGGTGGGATGGCAGGGTTAGGTTAAAGGTTGGACGCGATGATCTCAAAGGTCTTTTCCAACCAAAGTGATTCTATGGTGGTGCAGGAGGCACGGCCGCCTCTTGGCAATGCCCTGCTAGGGATGTCCCGGGGAGGAAAAGCCCTGCCTGGCCCAGGGTGGTCCATGAGATGGGGGGGTCCCACCGTCTGTGCTGGATGTGCCCTCTCCTTGGCCACCGCCAGGACTCTCCATCTGCCCTTGGCTGGGCAGGCAGGTGTCTCCGCTCCCGGTGGCGTGCACGGGAAGGGCTCTGTGCCGTGGAAGGGAGCCATCCTGCGGCCGTCTGCGCAGTGCCCAAGCACTATTGGCGCCCTCCGCTGCAGCGGTGCATGTGGCCCCGGGGTGGAACAAGTGGTGCTTGTCCAAATGCAGGCTGTGGCCAGCATCTCTGGCCTCATCAGCCTTGAGCGGCAGTAACGAGAGGCCCCCTAATTCCTCCAGGTGGCAGAAATCAGGCTGCCGTTTCTCTTTTACACAAGGCTTTCGAAGGAGAGGGGAAGAGAACGAAAGCTGTGGCTCTTGCAGGAGGTCTCAGCAGGCCTGGCGGGGTGATTACTGTGACCCCAACGGGATCTGCCTTGATTTCCTTTAATTTCTTCCCTTTTGTCTTCCACATCACGTGAAAGCCGCATGATGATGCCCGACCCCAGCCCTTCACCTTTCTGGAGCCTTTGTGGCGCATGCACAAGCTTGGGAGCAGGTTCTTAAACCCTTTGAAATAATTTTAAAATATTCCATGCATTTTTGCTTTGGAAATAAGCCTTGGGGTGGCCATGGCCCAGCCTCTGATGTTTGAGGGGGACAGTGGGTAGGCTGGGCTGCTCTTCAGCCCCTGTGTCTCACGGGAGCTGCAGAGCCCAAAAGCCCTGGGCACTTTTGCTTGTGGCCAGTGGGACAGGCGAGGTGACAGGGACCTGGGCTGGCTCCCCATGGCCATGTCCGCAGGAGAATCTGCGGTGTCAAATTCGGGCACGAGCAGGTGGGAGAGAAAAGAGCAAGAGCTCCAGACAGCTGCTTCCTTGGCATTTTAATTAAAACCTAATCTTCTTAATCTTCGCCGACACTGGTCTTGCCAGCCTCTGGCTTGTGAGGCTGCCCAGAACCCGGCTGTAGCTGTGCCTGCCCTGCGGCGTCTCCCGGGATGCGGCTGGGGACCACGGTTGCCCGCAGAAGGTCAAAGCCACCTCTGGCTAATGGAGAGCTCGGCCACCGCTGCAATTAGCACCTTTTGGGAGGCGGCGTGCGGCTCTGAACAGCAGCGAGGTCAGCGATCCCGGCGGTGCTGGAGCGTTTGCTCCATCCCAGCCCTGCCTGGAGACATGCGTGCTTGGGTGTGAGGAGCCCCTGGGCTTTTTTAGATAGCCCGGGAAAGCGGCATCTCCCCTGCTGCAGGACCACAGCTCTGCCCTGGCCCCCCTGCACCCCCCAGGGTACCAGTGTCCCTTCAGCAAACCTCTGTGCCCCCATTCCCTTCTCCTGGTGCGTTCCCGCTGTGCCGCGCTCATCCCGGTGTGGGAAGGGGCTGGGCAGGGGGTTCCCCCTTTCCCCCCCAAAGCAAAGGGGAGAGTGCAGCCCTTGCAAGGCACAGCCCTGGGCCTGGCGGGGGGGGGAAGCTCTGCAGCCAGCCCCTGCCAGGGCTAAAAACTGGTTTTAGTGGCAAAAGCCCAAGTGTGGGCTCCGTGGGAAGAGGGGGATTCAGCGGGCAGGGAGCTCCCTCTTGTGGGGGAAAAAAAGAAAACCAAACCCAAACCCAAGATTATTTGGGCTGTGCAGCTGGGACGCAGCCCCAGATGTGCTGCACAGCTGGAGCCCAGGCTGAGCCCAGCCTCGGCCAGTGCCCGAAGGGGTTTGATGACCCGAATTCCACCCCAAAAAGAATTAGGATGGATCCCCCCATTTGTCCAGAACTGGAGACCAGTGCTCAGCAGGGCTATTTCCTCACCTCTCCTAATAACGATTTGTTATTATTTGGGGCAGAGATTGGATGCTTTCCAGCTGCTTCATTTCCACAGATCCTTGGGTTCCAATCTCTCTTGTCTCTGTAATGGCATCCAATCTGCTATTTACTGGATGAATATTTATGAGGGCTCTGAAGAGGCAGATTCGGAGCAGGTTTGCCACTTACTGGAAGCAACCAGAGTCTGGCCCCTAATTCATAAGCAGCCTTCTTAATTCCTTGATTAAATTCCTACTTGCAAATAAAACATTTGCATTTCACTTCCAATTTTTTTTAAAAAAAAAAAAAAAAAAGCCAGTGTCCTTAAAGTTAGCTGATTGCACGTGAAGTGCCAAGGCAGCGGTTTGCAAAGGGCATGGGGAAGGCAATTTAAAAGGAGAATGAGCACAGCACACTTCCAAAGAGGCTGGGGCCACGGGGACGGGTAAGGATCCATACAGGAAAATGCTCTGCTACACAGGGAGGTGCTTATGGGGAGGGAAGAGCAAATCTGCCTGGGCTTGGACCTGGTCCTGGCCAGGATTAGTCCCTTCCAGCTGAAGCACACCCAGGTAGGGCTGTGCCCCGTCCCAGCCCCGGTTTGGCTGCAATGTGCCGGTGGTCCCTGGGCCAGCAGCAGCAATGCTCTGTGCCACAGGAGGGACCCAACCAGCCTTTCCCACCACCTCTCCCCGGGATTTGTTACCCTGCCAAGCCAAACATGCTTTGCTAATAAACAAAAATTGATTTTTATTTATCTTACAAAGCGAAGCCCCGTTGCTCCCGCCGCCCAGGTTTAATCCTTTCTGCTGTCGATGGCAATAATGAGAAAGACACCTGCGGATCCTGTTAGAGCCGCAGGCCTCCTTTTTAACTATTAAGAGATCAATACACTTTGCAATGCTGCTAATAGTTTTCTGGCCCACTTGATTGCGAGGGGACTCAGCTGGACTCGGCCTTATTTGAAGGTGCCCGATGCATTTCTGGCAAATTTGCTCAGTGTCCGACACGGGGGCGGGGGGGAGCTGCTCAGGGGTGGCAAATTCATAGAATCATAGAATGTTTTGGGTTGGAAGGGACCCCTAGAGGTCATCTGGTCCAACCCCATGTCCTCTGCATGTTTGCAGTGATGCAAGAGCTTTTGCTTAAGAAACTTATTGAGAGGCTGAAATTGTCCCCGAGGATGGGAATGAGCAATTGAAACCCCCAACAAGGGGCTTGAAACAACAGAAAATCTAACTTCAGCCCTCAAATAATATAAACCCCCCACCTCCAGTGTAGGCTTGGTTTGATTCGAAGAAATCAAGATGCCATTTCAGTCCATTAACAATCCATCTCACTTTTATTGTCCATTTTTTTAAAAAGTTGGTGGTTTTCTACTCATAATTATAAAATAATCCTATTTTACAAAGATTTACAGCTCTGTGAGTGCCCAGCGGTGAACAAGGCTGGGTCTGGCAAGTCTCTTAAATAATCAAACCACATTTTTTTGTTTTTTTAAAAAAAAAAAAAAGAAAAGGGCAAAAAGGCAACCGGCAATGAGCCGATTCAGCACCAAGCAGGACATAACAGAGTAGGAGGGTTTGTATAAAAGGCAATTTATTTCTTCGGGAGGGGGCGCAGGGAGGGGAGGATGGGCAGAGGGGCAGGTAACGAACCCCAGTAACGAGGACGGGACCCGAGCTGCCCTCCCTTTATTCTCTGCCGTCCCCCGGGCTGTGGGAGGGGGGTGATCCCTACACCAAATTAAATTCCCGAGGCTGCGTTTCCCCTCCAGCGGCTGCCCCGAGCCCAGCGCCCTCCCGCAGCGGGGACGGGCAGAGGTCGCTCCCTACGGATTTGCAGTTTTTTGGTCTCTTTGCTGCCAGCCCCGGCACGGGTTTGCCGGCCGGGTCCGCCGCCACGCTGGTGACTCCTCAGTAGACGGGTCCCTTGACGGCCCCCGGCTCCGTCAGGCGTGCGGCGGCGTACGCCGAGGCTCCCA